TTGTCAAATTAATCGTGCAGTTGAAAATACTCTGTAATCGTCGTATTTCTTTAACAAAGGCAGTCCTCATAAGTAGCCCTTATTTTCGCTTAGAGCTCTCTGTTGTAACCTCTACACGACTGTTGTTAATAACTTCTAAATTTCACTTGACCTACCTCGTGACCTCCAAGTTATTTCTCCCATGGTTGTTTAGCCACCAGGGCCGGAGCCTATTAAGCACTTTACTGGCAGGAACAACACGGCCGGCCTCACTGATGAAAGCGAGTTACTGCTACGAACCGGAGAAACTGCTGCTTACACGTGTGTGTGTGTGTGTGTTTCTCTCTGGCTACGGTGAATCACCGCGCTTATTTGGGGATATCTGTGGAAAGTACCTGCTATAATAAGCAGCCGCTTTTCTGTAGTTTGTTGACTCGCTGCAGTGCAAAGTCACGCAATAGGGGCAACGGTGATACGACCGCACACGAGGGAAGAGCCGTGAATGAAAGAAAGTACGTGAGAGAGAAGCAGTAGCACAAACCGACGCTGCGTTTAAGGATATTCATTATAATGAAATTAAAACAAAATAATGCACACAGTAGATGAGTGATGTTGCTTGAAACGTAATATTGCCTAACAAGAATAAGTTGCTTGTTGCCTGGTGTGTGCGTTTGTGTGCTCCTGTGAGTGTGTGTGTGTGTGTGTATATAACCCAGACAGCGGGGAGAAAAAGAAGCGGCCGTTTCACTAACGTTGATTGGAAGCAGATGTCGGCGAAAGCCAAGGGAGAGAAGAAAATGTTTTGGGAAACTTCTCAGGGCTCAGCCTCCTTCTGGCCCGGGCAGCCAATCACCGCGCAGCAGCCGCCAGCCTCCGCTTTGAACCAAGGGCTGCGATTGGGCGGAGATTCGAACGTGGGCGTCGGGAGCAGATGTCCTGGGAAAGTTGCTGAATCCCAGTTGACTCGAAGTGAAAGAAAAGGGAAAACATTTTCTCGTTCAACTGGACCGTCACCAAACCGTGTTCGAGTCCAGCTGCACTGTGTCCCCCGCTCGTTCTCTCTCGCAGCGCCTGTACAAACACTCTGACGGCGTCTCCCCATGACCTACGCGTAAAACTATACATTTCATTTGGTATTCTAATGAATACCAAACTGAATTGCCTCGAAAAAGGAAGGCGAACAATGGCACCGTGTCAGGAAGAGACCTTTTGTCTGCTTTCCTCGAGTTTGGAGCCGGTGGAATGAATGCAGCCGAGGGGCCTCGGCACCTTTGCCATCTCCCCATGATGCACCTCTAAAACCTCCCTCGCTCCTTTTCACCCCCTCACCTTCACCCTCCAGGTATTCAGCTCTCCATTCAAGTTCCTCATCTTTCTCCTTTTCCACCCCCCCCCCCCCCGCCCACCTCTGTCATCAGCACCCTGATTCAGTCACACTCTGGTTCACACGCAGCCTCACCTGCACACAAAGCCCCATCTCACTCTTTTATTGTGCCAGTCTATTGCCTATTCACAGGGCCGGCGGAGCACAAATCAATCATCTTTCCTAATGGAAAGTCCACATTAACATGAGAGGACACTCCATTTCCGTCCCAGAATGCCAGGTCGACTGGTACCCGAGCTCCAGCCAACGGAGATCGGCGGGGGGGGCCCGGCAGGCACTCTCATTTCAGCTGGGATAGCGGGGTGAGGCCGTCGGGTCCAGGGGTGCCTCCGGGAGTCAATGGTGTATTAACTGAGGATGCGACAGCGGCAATAAAAATGCAAATGGCCAGGATGGCCCGGATCTGCCCTTCATGAGGCCGGATAATGCAGCCTCCTACACCTGCCGAGACATGTGGTTCAACACGTCTCAGACACAACAACACGGGGAAGGAGGGGAGGCGAGGATCAGGGTCGGGGGGCCGAATGTGTGAGGAACATTCGGACCACAGGTGCAATAGCTTAGAAAGGTGTAGTCATTTTATTATTACTGATGTAGATCCTCAAGCATATGCAGAAGTCTTTAAAGTCAGTGGTTGTCAGTCACTTGTGATGCGGTTTCTTGATGGCAAACAGCTTATTATTTATAGCAGGAACAAAATGAGGCTTTTCCACTAGTCTTAGATTCACATATGTAGGTAAAGGTGGAGGCAAAGGTTGAGAAATGTGTGCTAACCCACACTTTCACTGCAAAAAAGTGATTGTCACACTTAAAGATCATTTCCGCCCATATGAACCAATTAGATCACTAAGGAATCAGAGCCTGTAAACTAGAAGCACAACGTGTTGTGTGCAAAAAAGGATACGCAGTGAGGACAGAGACGGAAATAATACACTGAGACACTTCACACCCTTCAGTGTGAAGTTGGCATGCGGGGGCAGCTTATTATTTGGTGTTTGTGTGTAAAACTGTAATGCACAATATGTATTTATTTGAGAGAAATCCGGTTTGATTTAGAATGTTACAGGAAATGTTTTTTTTTTGTTTGCAAAGTTTCAACAAATACAGTTCAGAAATCTTGATTCAGCAAACGCAGAACAAACTGCAGCACAAACAAGCCCGAACGCACAAGTGTCCCCGTGGAGTTACGGAAACAAACCGAATCAGCAGAAGACCAAACGCTCTCAACTCTGTGCTATGAGAAGGGTCGCATGTGAGAGGACACGATAGATCATACTTTGTTTGAGTTACTCCCCCGACACAACTGGAGTCTCACTGGCTGAAGTTGGCCCAACCCTGAGGGACAATAGGACACATCCTCAGGCAACTGTGTCTTAAAGTGTCCCTTCAGGGCTCCCGGGGACGCGTCGGTCATATTTCACAACTTCTCTGCGTAATGGAACAACCGCGTCGGCCCCTTGTGCGTCACAGGGATTCTCTCCTACAGGAGGTTGTTATTTAGGACACTGAGGACGGATATAGTTGCGTATCATCCTAATCACAGCAAACGGTGAACTTGGCTTTAAAAGCAAAGAATGCAGAATTCTAGTGATAAAGTCACGGAAATTGCATATATGGTATACAAGAGGACGTGTGGGCTTTAATTCAGTGTCATTAACACAAGTTCTTTCCAATTGATTTGGATTAAACAAATCACTGCGACATGTCTCCGAACCCTAGTCTGTGTTAAGGCGGATTCTTTCATTTTGACACGTCGCTTTATTTCAATGCCGCTAAGTAAGACTTACGACAAATTGGTTGCAGATTCGTCTGCAAGTAATCGCGCCACCAGAGAGCTCTGCTGCTGAGCCTCGATTGTTTAAACGGGGCGACATGCCGCTGTCGACTGGAGAAAAGGGTTGCCAAGAATTCTAAAACAAATCCAATAACTGATGCTTTGCCTCGGCCGTCAATCGCACGGTTTGCTCCGCTGTGGCTGTCAATCGACATTCAGGAATACGTGTCCATTCCATCCTCTGATGCTTTTGCACTCTGCTGCTAATTTACTCAAAGTGCTATTGCATCATGAGCATCCACAAAGTGCTAACTAAAGTGCCAAATAATGTTCTTGGCTTCGCAAACCCTCACAGTACTGCAGCAACGAGACACTAATCCATCCTTAAACTACACCATCAACAGGCGAAGTTGTGGTTTTAGAGCGGTTCTTTAGAAGGAAGCATGAAAAAGACATTTCTCAAGAAACTGCGTACGCTGCCAACGTGATAAAGGGTTCTGCTTGAAAACGTGACGCGTGCCAGCGGACATACAAACCGAATGCTCATCCAAATCACATGAACGCACACAATCCTGTTCTCAGCGCGGAGTCATGATGACTTATTGATTCCGTTGGATGAATTCCCTCCAAAAGGTTGACGTTTGTATTGCAATAAAGCTGGTGTTTCCCAACGCGAGGGCCGCGGCGGTGCGTCGTTTAACCGCCGCTGTCTTTCTCACTCACGTTGAGACTCCACGCGGGAGACAGATGGAGCTTGGCAAGACGCTTTGGATAAATATTTAGGTTCGAAATCTGTCAAACGGGCTGCATTTCTAGTGGCAAGAGAGCCATGAAATTCTGCATCCCCCGACTTTTTTATTTATTTATTTTTTTTTTTTTTACAGGCATCATCCGACATCTTTCTCGGGTCTGCCAGGTGTGACAGGTCCCGCGCTGCGCACAGACTTCCTCTTCTCTTTACGTCTCTCTCTCTTTGCTGTCTTTCACTTTTAAACACCTCTTTAAATCACCGGCGGCTTTCTTTGAAGGAGGCACAGAGGGGGGGGGGGGGGGGGGGGGTTGGGGGCATGTGTGGGAGCCAGCTTTGTGTTCTGGGTTTGGATGTGGAATGAGCAGGTTTGAGTGGAATCATAATGGTTTTTGATTTTTGTTCCAGGTGTGTTTGAACCCCCCCCCCTCCCGCCTGGCGTGGATCACGAGCCCGGGGTCAGAGCGAGGGAGGTGCAACAAGAGAAGGAACACCTGCGTGACCTCGGCCCGCCCCTCCGCCTAAAGAACCCCACCCACGGGAGAACATGGCTCGGATTGAACATGGGACTTTCAATCTGCCATGTATGTACTGTACATATAAACCGTCCATTGTTAAACGTTACTCTCATGCCAAAATGACCGCGTTACGTTTCTAAATCCAGATTTTCTCAGAACTGAAAAGGGTCTACTGGGCCGGTCAGTCGACGGCCTCAGAGGGCCGCTGCAGCGGGGCCAAACAGCTGTGCCGAGCGGGGCGAGAGGCCGTGGACAGTGGAATTTATATGAGCTCGGGGTTACAGGCGCATGAATGGGCCCCAGTGTGCTGGTTCCGATTCGACGTCACCTCATCAGCGCGCACGGGTCACACTCGTTAAAACTGTGACGCGCCGCGGCCTGCATGGGTTTCAGAAGGCACCAGCCCCCCCAAAAAACCCACCCCCCCACACCTTCTGAAGGACCACAGCGGCGGTTGGAAGCTAGATTTTCAGAATAATGTGCTACTTTGAGTTACGGATTGTTGCAGAAATAATTAATATGTTACATTATAACAGAATAGTGCTTTTCAGTATAATGTGTGTTCATGATCCAAAACAAACACCACACAGTAGGAAATCTTTGTTCACATATATTTTATAACATTTTGAAGTACATTTTAGAAATAGAAGCTACAGTTTATAAAACCTTTCCAGCAGAAATCATTGATGGGCCAGCATCAGCCTTGTTTCTCTAGCAGACAGGTCTCTTTTCTATATAAAAAAAGAATACAAAACAAAAAGAAATCGCTACATTATTTTGTCCTGCACTACATTTATATTTTCCCATGAAAGCACCAGCTGTCTGCATCTCTTGTCTTTTATAAAATATAAATTATTGAAAAATATTCAAATGTTTGTGAACTAAATACAATAAAAATGATCTCATAACAAAAATACAGAGACACTATAAAATATACAAAAAAACAAACAAAAAAAACATCAAAAACGGTTTTCCTTCTGAATCCATTCTGAGATATGTCAAACTATTGTTGTGTGTACACCTGCCTGACTAAGGTTCATTAAGACCTGCAGTAGAATGTAATCTGTGACATATTTTCCTGACAAATAAATGTTAAAATACTTACATTTAAGGGAACAGAATGTTTTCTTTTAGCACATTAATCCCGTGATGCTAACCATACAGATAATACGAACTTGTGTGGGAGGAAAGAAATAAATACAAATTTAAAAAATTCGGGGCGAAACAGTATGTAAAGTTCTGTAATATGAGACACTGAGAAAAATAACCTGATCCAAACAAAGACAACAGTGCTTTGGAACCTCGACATGCAGAGAAGGAAACTACTGTGCAGCTTATTACCAATTTGTCTACTGCGTTGAGTCACATGGCGAACATGGGTGAGGGTTTGTGAGTCACTGCTCTTTGTCCTACTTTGTGTTTTCCAAAACCAAAGATAAAACTAAAGATCCGTTATCAGTCAAAATTTTGGTCCCCGACTTCTGACATTGTGGACGACGCACTAAGCAACGCGGCCAAAGACCTCACAAGGGCTCTGGTTATTATTCCTGCTTTGTCTCTTGCTTATTTGTGTAATCTGGGTTTCATAAAAGCATTATGAAATACAATCTGTACAAATAGACATCTCAAAAGCTATTTTCATCCCTATGGGTAACATTCAGCCACTGTAAACAATAACATTGTATTCCAAGATGATATTCCACTTTGGCATTTCCCATAAGGCCGGTTGTGCAGCCACTGTTCCCACTGTTGAAAGGAAACTGCTGCCAGTTTGGTCAAAAGTATCCAGTGAAGCTTTCTGCATGTCTGCACAGGTACGGGTGGAATAATACAGGAGCTTCTTTGAACTGCATTTCGCCAAACACCCAAAATACAAATACAAATGTCTGCCACTGGTCCTAAATAACCCATGTGATGCAAACTTCCATGCATGCATGTCAGCCTTTCTCCATCAGCCCTCACAACTAATCACCATCACTATCATCATCTTTAGTCACCATGGCTTCCTTTCAGTCACCTTCCCATCTTGCAACACTTCGGGTTCCATCTTTTCTATTGGGCGTCCCTTTGTTTCCTACACTGCACCCCCACACTATCCTGCAGCTGCGTCCTCATGGCCAAAACGTACTGCATGGGAAACAAAACTAAACAGAAAAACCTGACGTCCTAAAACCAAAACGCGTCACACGAGGCAACACTCACACGGACAGTGAACCGACAAATGATGCATCCGATCTGCACATAGAACGACTCCTCTTACCGAAGGCTCCTGAACTCCCCCACACAGGTGTCTACCGTTGTCTAATACTGGTGGTATACGCAGAAAAAGCACAAGTTTCACAATATGTGTCTCTAACAAGGTGGCAGCCACGTAAGTAAAAAAGGTGAATGCGTCAGTTGCAAACGCAACGGCTACTTTCAGTTGTCTGTCTATTGAAAGCTCTCGCTATGAGTAACGTCCCCACGTCCTCAAAGCGCGCGGGGGGGGGCAGCGTCTCTAGTGTTGATCACAAATCAGCACATTTCTGTTGAAAGGCTCCTGGAGAACCAGACAGATGAACGTGGCATCTAAGGGTCAGTTTTCACTGAAATACTGGCCTCGACAACACGAGAAGAAATACTCCAATAAGCCCCCGGTGGGTTTCTCCACATCGACCATCAACAACAGAACACTGGGGCGAGCACGCGCCCCTCAAACAACAGGTTAAACACAACACTTTTTGGTCCGAGCTGAACTGCCTCTTTGCCAACGTGAGACACTTTTAAAGGTTGTTTTTTTTTCATTCTTTTGAAAACTGTTTTTTTTTTCCCCTCCTATTCCTCTTTGTGGGAACCCCCCCCCCCCCCCCAACGCCCCCTCACTCTACCCAATCAAAGAAACGTATATTACTTTCTGTCTTGGTCTGTTTGTCACCCCGCTGTGCTACTTAGGCAGAACGGAACCTGAACTCTACCCAAGAGTGCTCCGTCTGCCTCGAGCTGCTAAATAATACAGGTACAGGACCACGCGTACGGCACGCTCACTCACACACACACACACACACACACACACACACACACACACACGCACGCACGCACGCACACGCACGCACACACGCATGCACATTTTGTGCCTTCTTTAAAACATGGTCAGAAACAGAGACAGGAGCTTGAAGTTGACAAAGACCACGGTCGGTCATTAAAAACATTTCTGCCCTTCAAAACAAAACCAAAAAAAAAAAACGGTTTACCGACTATCGAAATAGTTAAGACCACTTTATGAGCCCCAGTCCTCATGTCTCCTAAAACTTTTGTCTTTGCCTTCACTCGTCCGTGTCGGGCTTTACGTCCAGCATTGCGTGCAGCTCCTCGGGCGTGTACCCCAGCAGGCTTTTTAAGTCACACACAAAGCGGTAGACGTAGCGTTTCCCCGACGTCTTGTGGATGATGTTCTTGTCGTAGTAGTAGCGCAGGCCGCGGCTCAGCTTCTCATAGTTCATCTTGGGTTTGTTTTTCCTCTTGCCCCACCTCCGAGCGACCTTAAATCAACCACAGAGAAAATGGGCGTCAAGATAAAAACGAAATAAAACAAACACGCGACAAAAACGACTCCAATCGAAGCTGCACTTTTTTTTTTTTTTACATTACATACAAGCCCTTTCGAAACAAAGCCCTACAGAGGCAAAACCGGCAACCTTCCCCTAAAAGATTGATGGGGGGAAAAACAAGGCAAATGTTTTTAAAAAGAGGGCAGCAAACATCTTGTTCATCTGGCCAACTACTTAGGACCTCCCAGAACGTGTAGCAGTGACCAGCGGGGTCACGACCTCTCACCTCATCTGGGTCAGAAAGCTTGAACTCCCAGCCGTCCCCTGTCCAGCTGATGAAGGACTGGCAAGACTTGTCGGTCAGGAGCTCCAGGAGAAACTGCCACAGCTGGATGGGGCCGCTGCCTGCAGGGAGGGGGGCGGATGGGGGGGGAGAGAAAGTGTGCATTAAAAGCAAGCTAATTACACCGAGGAGACATAAGTCGCCGTGAGGACGGAACGCAATGATGCAATTGTTGAGGCAAAGATGTAAAAAGAACGACTAAGTTCTAAATCCTATTATTAGTTCAACTGTTACTGTGTTATCAATGATACAAACGCCTGCATGGTATGAAGAGCTTTAGAACGCATTTTGTTCGCCCTTTCAGTGGGAGAGTTTTTCCAACGCTTTTCAACTTTTTCAAAAGTGAGACACATGGCATAAAACAGCACAAGGTCCGTATTGCACTGCAGGGATAAGATGAGTGAAGAAGGCGTCTCGGCGATGCAGGTGTCAAATAGGGTTAGCAATCATTCACTCGAAGAGGGACAACGTAAACCTTCTAAAGTGGGTCAGACCTAAAGTGCAACTGTGGAACTAAATGTCCTCCTAGACACAACAGTCCCTTTCATTATGCATCCCCTTGTCTGGCAGTTGCCCTGTGCAGTGTGTGAATCTAGAGTCTGTGCGAGTTCCATGATGATGAAATCACTTGTTTAAAAATAAAGAAAGGGGGCTGCCTGCAGATTTCAGCAGCACGTCGCAGGGATTTGAATGCAGACTACATGTGAGAAGGAGAGAGCTTCAAGCAATGTGTCATCGGATTTGAGAATTAAGAGCTGCATAATACTACAACGCTTACACAACAGCTTAATAGATTTTAAAAGAAGAGGGAAAGCAGAAGAAAGAACCAAAAAAAGGGCTCGTCTCTGAACTAGATGCAAGGCAGCGCACTTTGATCTTGTGGTTTTTCAGCACACTCAACAACCCACTTTTGCGGCTCGCAAGTTGAAATCACACCTGCCTATGCAGCGCACCGCCTCAGCAAAATTGAAGCTATATGCAAAAAGTCCCCTTTCTTGAGCCTCCGAAAAAAACCAAATGTGATAGAACACAAACAAACGCTCTCAGAGAAACAGACATGTGGGTTGAACACTTGAAATGGGTTATGTGAGCCTTCTTTACCCCTGCAAAGGGATCCAGAGAAGGTGCATGACAACAGCCTCCAAGACTTTGGAAAATAAGTGGCCGTGCAACACTGAGCCTCTTTCAGACGGAACGTTTTGACTTGCATTCCAAAAGTCTGCTACTGTAATAGCGAGCCCACATGAGGGTAACACAGTGCCCGCGTGCCAGCCCCCGGTTTCCCTCACCCCAGAATGGAGGCGACCCTTTGACAAAAAGAAGAAAAAAAAAAAAGGTTTCCAAAAATATGTTACAAGTCTCCATGCACAATGGGCCTCATTGAAAAAGCATAGTGTGGCAAAAGGGTGGGTGTGGTGGGGGCTCGCATTCGAGGCAGAGTTGAGTGTCTGGCCCGAGGTAAGATAAATGACTCATCGGAGAAAAGGAAGAAAACGGAGCGCAGAAAATGTAGAATAAATGTAGCTATAAAAGGAGGTATTGGGATCAGGGTTGTTACATTGAAGGTGGAACCGGCTAATTTAGGTACAGTTTTAACATTGTATTGGTCAAAAATATTGCTAATGTACATGCGACATGACTACATGTAGCCGCAACGCAAACAAAGTACCCCTGTGTGCATGTGTACGGCAGCCAGAGAGTAGAGCACAGCATTACAATGCAGACGGCGAGCTTAGCGTGCGGCGCGGCCGCCTGATGCTAGTACACGGAGACAGAGGTGCAAATGGTAAATTGTCACAGGAAACCGCCGAGGTGACAACTGGAGCTCCTCTTATCTCCCTGCAGCCTTATCGGGCGCTCTGTAGAGTGTCACCTGTCACCCTGTGACTGGTACCGGAAGCCGAGCAGAGCGAGCGTCAATTTGGATTCTTTCACAATTTTTTGGTTGAGGTTACGCTCGCGCTCTCTTGCAAGCACTTTCCTTGCTGTATTCCCTTCTTTCCACCCACACATGTGCACAGTGCAGCACACAAACACACAAATAATGCTCCAAAGGACTCCGCTCTCCTCGCGCTGCTCTTAATAACAGCTTGGACAACAAGCAGGTCGAAAGATTTCTCTCTCAGGAAAAATGATGGTATTTTAGTATTCGCCGCCCCCCACCCCCATCTTCCTTCCGCCATCCCCTCTTTCCCCAGCTAGTAAAAGCTCAGAGGAAGCACATTCTCCTCTCTGCGAGTACATTACGAGGCATTAGGCTGGAAACACTCGCCGGGCTTTCACACATGAGCTCTTTGGAGTCATCTATCCTGTCGTAACAACTGCTGCATGTCAGACGACGAGATTGAAGCGGTAAATGGAGCCAGAAAGCGGTGCGCTGCGCCGGGGAAGGTTCTTAAAAAGAAAGACATTTCCGCAGGCGCGGGTTTAGATTTTAACGCAACGCAAATTTATTGTCAAAGCTTATTTCACAAAAGGTAAATGTCTTGTCTTGGAAGATCTACAAATCTCCCTCGTTCATCGGCTGAAAAGTCCACTTTCATCGAAGCCGCCAAACAGTCGCTGAAGGGGCTTTTTCAGAGCGTCTTTGGCGCTTAATTATATGCGCATTACGACATCTTTCCAAACATCGTTCTGAATGAATGACTCATTTTGAACCATAGAGGAGGACCAGTGAACTTGTGCATACCAACGTTAGGACATCGTGCCAAGTTCTGATGTATGCATTGTTAGTATCATTGAGAAATATTCTTGGATTTCCCCAAAGCTGCCGATCCTGCAGCCTTGTGACAACAATTTAAACCCAACTGAAAAAGTCCCCACCATATTGACGTAGAGCCGTTTTGACAATCCAATTCTAAACAGCCGTGTATGTCTGACAAGTCTTCATGCGAACTGTTAAAAGTAGTAAAAGTGTTTGTTTTTTATCCCCCTTTTTTTAGACTAAAAACTAAAAATGTGCTGAAACAGTGCGTTCGCTTTAGAAGAGCTTACAGTTATCTCCCCGGCTTATTGCACTTAGAGAAGATAGGTAAGCCGCCTCTTTGAGCATGTGCGAGTATGAAGATGCATCACGAGATATTCGGTCTCGGTTTTATGTGTGGGCATCATTTTTATGTTTTACCGGCGTTGCTACGACGACCTGGAAGAAATAGGTTGAGATGCGGGTTGCAGATAACAAGTAAGGTGGAACCGAGAAGTGAAGACAAAAGAGTTTTCAATGAAAGAAGAAGATCCGAGCAAAATCTGTTTTGCTTCCTATAATGCGTCTAAAAGCAGTGCATTAATGTGCATTAGGAGCATGTGTGTTAAAGCTGCACAGAATATAAATCCCTACATTTTAACTGGTGAGTAGAGATATATTTTTTTATAAACATTGAGAATATTTTACCCATATTACAGAAAAAAATAAATATATAGTTGCCTGTAACTAATTACTTAGATATAATAATATGATGATGATTCCTATATGAACAATATAGTTCTACATTGCATTCATGTGTGGCCAGCTTGGCGGCACAGCTAAACGGAACAGAGCTCCAAGTCGTTTCATTGGTTCCCCTGTGGTTCCCCTGCTGTGACACATTTCAAAAACGTCTGCCGTAAAACGCTGCAGCACCTTCCAAAGTGGGACTGTACATAAAACGATGGTGCACCTATACGCATCTCTTACCTGTGTATCCTGCCAGCGCTGCCGCTGGGATGACGGGTTTGTCCTTGCTGAGGTCTGAGCGCTCCCTCACATAGTCTTTGAAAGTGCCCTTGGGCTTGTGGCTGTGCAGGGCAGTGGGGTAGTCTTCCGAGTCGAAGCTGTCGTACGAAGGTACCCGCTGCAGGCTGCTGAAGGAGGACTGGCTGCTCCATGACTGGGTCAATCGGTCACAGCTCTCGAAGCTCTCGATGCTCTCGAAGGAGTCCTGGCCACCGAGCTTACCTTAAGAGGGAGGGGCGGGCGGGAATGGAGTTGTTAGAGGTTCAAACTGCACAGACAGTCTCTAAGAATAGACATGTTGCTGTTTATTAAAGTGTTTACAAGTAGTCTGTATAAATTCCTGAAAGTTGCATGAAAAAAACCTGAAACGGTAAACTAGGTTCTCCCGCTAACTAAGCTACGTCTTTCTGTATGGTGACACGTTTTACCCCATTTCACACCTCCATTCACTTTTACAACCACAACATGAATACAACTTTAAATGGAAGACAATCACGCAAATTGCTTTTGCCATTTTTAGCCCTGGGAAAGGATAAGAGGAGGCATTAAATGACGTGCCATTATCGTACGACACAAGACGCAGCCTCTCCATTGATGCTGAAATCTTTGACTGCTTAAATTGAAGCCACATGTGGATACGAGTCGAGCCACTAAATACTTTCCCACGTCGGGAGCGCGCAACGCTGTGAAGCTGCGTGCGATGCATGAGGATCGGACCTCATACCTTGTCTGCAATGCAGGAGGATTGCGTTCTCCTCATTTATACAGCTGGGGATTTGTGAGGAGAAAATCAGAGCTTTACGGCTAATGTTGTGAACCACGCTGCTGATGCCTCCGTCAACTATCGATGGGGGAGAAAACAAGCCTCGGAATTCAGTTAAGTTTCATGAGAAAGCCCCAGGCGCGCTAGCTGAGGATGACGGCGCTGTCTCCTTACCAAGAAGTCGAGGAAAAGAGGCCAACAGAAACTTTTTGAAGGTTACACCAGAGGTGTTTTGCATTGAGGACGGGAGGCATGAAGAGGAGACACTGTGGCTTTGGTTCGTGTTTCACACTTACAAAAACAATAGAGTTTGGCTTTTTTTTGAGTTTTTTGTTTTTCACCCAACCATGTCAAGAGTGTTCGAGGCAGGTTCGCTGGAACCACAAACCAACCAGGGGCTGCTTTTCTTCTCTTCTAATACGACAGGTTTGTGGTGGCTTCAGCAGTCACACTCAAGCCGACGCGGAGGCATTAACATGCACACACTTTTATATGCACACAGGTCATGCACACATGCATCACTGAACCGGATTAAAAAAAAATAAAATGCTGTGCTTAAATGTGTGTATTTCATCCTTCCATCTGGCGTGCGACCCCTCACCTCTGCTGAGACGTCCCACACACATGTTGTCGGGGGACACCACCTCCTGCTTGACGGTGAAGTAGTCCCCCTGCAGCGGGTTGAGGGGCGTGTCCCGCAGGATGACAGCGGGGTATTCGCTCTCGTACTTGAGCGTCAGCAGTTCCTCCGAGCTGATGGGATGCAGCGTCTGGTAGGACTCTGTGATGAAGCCGGGCTCTGAGTATTCAGAAGGAGGGACACATTGAGCATGCTCAACACCGTAGCCTGGAGAGACAAAGGGAAATGAGTGTGGATAGGAAGCAGAGCGAGGAGATCGATCCTCGGAGAGCCGAGTCTCAATCAAGTCTTGTGCTGAACTGCGTGCGAATGGGCCGTGACGAGACGCAGCCCTGCCTGCATACGATGGGTCTTGTACACGCAAGATGATAGATTTGGCAAAAGCTGTAGTTATGCAATATTGTTTCTGGCTACACGGGGGTTTTGCAATCTATGTTAAAAGCTCTTTTGTTCACAAGACTAAACTACTCCTCTTTCTTTCCATTCATACGGCACCGATGTTGTGCTCTTACACAGTGACGACGGGTGTGATGGGTACTTACTGACAAAGTAGTCTGAGGTATAACGGGATTCCTGGAAGTTGGAGGTCAGTCCATTGATGGGGTAATGCTTTGCATCCTCTTCATGAAAAATTGATAAAGAGTGTCAGTGACCTCGCCATTGATTTTAATGTTTCGTGTTACTGCCTCCCGCTTTATAAAAAATGAATGACCTGGGCCAAATTGCGCCTCGTGTTACTAAAAAACCGTCTGGTGATGACATGTCATCATACTAATGTGGCCGTACCTTTCTGGAGCATTTCTAGATGTTCCCAAAGGATGTCACCCACAAAGTCAGGTGCTAAGTCCAGGAAGCGCTCCTTCCCCATCGCACACAGGCTGGCTCCGTTCATGCAGAACTTGTCAAAGTCGACAATTTTCAGACTGAACTCGTTCACGGTCCACGTTAACCACGCGGCCACGTGGTTTTCTGTCCACTGTCTGGGATCTGTACACGGCGACACATTGAACAGTTAGTAAAACAATCACCAAAGACGGTATTTGTGCAATCTTTCCGTTTCAATTTAAAAAAAGAAAACAAACCGATATATGGGCGAAATTCATAATTTGCAGATATGGCAGGATAACTTAGACATATACTGAGAGTCCAGCTCTTTCCAAACAGCATGAGGAGGCGCTGTGGTCAGATTTCCAGTCAAGCAGCTAACTCATTATTCATCATCATCATAGTCTGTCTCTGTCTTGACTCTCTGGATGCTGCAGGCAGACTGTCTGCCCCCGACGGAAACGTACAGTATGTAATAGAAGGCCCTTTCTGGAACCACTGGGTGTCTCATTGTCTTATAGTCTTCAAACAGATGACTTCACAGAATGATTTACAGCAACCACAGATGCGATGTCTGACAAAAGGCCCATGCATTCAACTTTCCAGGTGAAAAAGTCAACAGGGGGCGAATAAGAGCACAAGTGAGTGGCGGTTTTACCTTTGGGAATACCCAGCCGCTGCTGCTCCTTCGTGAAGCCACTGAAGGTGGCCTTCAGAGCCTGGGACATCATCTCTTTACTTCCTGGAGTCAGCAGGGGGACGTCGCCACACTCTGGATCTGCCGATCACAAATTAAAAAGAATATTCATAATGTCATTATTGCAATTAAAACACACGGTAATGAGGTTTGTGGCATTAATCATTATTGACAGGCAATGCGTCCTCCATTGTATTTCATTACGGAGTGAGACGAAGAAGAGGGGTGGGAAAGACTTGTGGCCCGGTTTGATTTTCACATGGACACACACGCCTAGTCTTTCGCTCTCTCACACAAACACACACACACACAGTCAACTACATGTCTAAACAATTACATTCAGTCTAGACAGATACGGTCTGTGCATCAGATGCGGACCCGTCACACTGTCGCAGCTGTACTGTTTACAAACACAGGTTACGCGGCATGTGCACTATTTTTGCCATGTTTGACCCTAATCTAAATTTAGGGCACAATGTTAGTTTCAGCTAGTAGTCGAGAGGCAAATGTGACTCATCCGGCACTCAGCATCAAAATAAAAACACACAGGTTTACCAGGAAGCACTACAAGCAACTCACGGCTCTCCTACGCGCCCATCCTGGGTGGGAGAGCTGCGCCTGGTGCCCATCACTGACACCGTGACCCCCTGCTAGCCCTCCTCCCATGCTCTGCCCTCACACACTGGGCCTACTGTCACCGGACCAAGCGTGGGGTCAAACATTCTGAGAGGTCAGGAGGGGTCGAGGGATGAGGTGATGATGTCACCGCGGCTGCTGGCGGGTGGCTAGGAGAGGGTTTCGGGGTGGGGTGGGGTGGGCTGTCCCGAGGGTCTCGGCCACACACTGGGCCTACTGTTCTCTGCTCACAGTCAGTGGGCACCCAGTGCGGGACAGAGCTCCTTTTGATGACTTTAAACAGTGCCTGATGACTTGCACTCATCTAATTAGATTCAACAGTCTGCGGAAAAGTGCGGGCTGAGAGGGCAAAGCGGGGGACATGCCGAGGGAACATGGGGGGGGGGGGGGAAGACCCCGGGGCCACTAACACTAGAATAGACGGCTAAAAGCTAATCTGGCAAAGACTCAACAAATGGCTTGTAAATAGACATAAAAAGGCCTTACAGAGCTCCAATTAGCTGACACGTCTCATTCAGTCTGCAAAGCGCCCACACTCATTTCAACAACAAAGACAGACGTACATCATTATCTTGTCAATGGGAGGGAGGAAGTGCGTGAGGCATAACTTCAAAATCTCGGGGCTTCAGCGGCTTAAGGTGCACACAGAATCAAGGGGTGAATCAGGCTTTGATTTGTTTGCTCGCTCATGTCCCTCTTTTCAGCTCATCCCTCCGGTCTCCATCGCTGGGCAAATGAAAATCATTAAAAAATAAATTAAAAAAGTCAATGTCTCAGCTCGAAGGCAAAAGCCATGATAGCGGCAAAGAGCTGTGCCGGTGCCCCTCGCAGCAGCGCCGGCCGTCCCACCCAGATGTTCTGGCATCGCTCCGCCGGCCGGCGGTTTTGTCCGCCAGCGGTGCACTGGGGGCAACGCACAGTTCACGCTTGTTTTCTCAAGTCGCTGACGTCTCGACCTCGACTGGAATGCACAGCAGCTGTCCCTCCTTCGCTCACGCAACCAATGGCTGTCTGGCGGTTAGTAAAATTAGGTCTCCCAGTTTGAGCCCCCCCACGCCTCTATTTTCTCTCTAAAGAAAGAAGCCTTGCAACAGGGCCAGAGACAGAGGACGCACAAAAGCCCTTTGCTTCTTCATGTGATTGAATTAGGCATCCAATAATATACTGCTGTCTGTTACTCTGTTGGTGAACCAACAGAAAGATGTTTATTCTCTGCTCTTCTACTTTGCTTTTACTTCAGCCTTGAATCAACACTGTTTTACAGCCTTATACACCCTAGTTTACATGTTGCCAGATAAAACGACCAGTTTCACAATGTAAATAAGACCGAAGCGTTCTGTTATTATGTAAAAGTTGTTGACAGCCGGGTTGTGTGTAGGCTTCTGGCGAGCTCGCGTTTTTTACGTCGGTGGCGTTGCAGAAACCTACATGCAAACGCCTCACAGCCGGGAGGGGACTGGGGCTCGGACAGTCTGGGCTTTGATGCGAGGACAGGGGGCGAAATGGGGGCAGTTTATTTAAGCTCTCTGCACTTTCGAACCGCGTACGCCCCTCCCTCCCACATCGCTTTTATCAACCCAGCCCCAGCGCCAGCCACACAGAACTGAACCCACTTTAACAGTAAATCCTCCATCAAAGACACTCAACACCACCCTGCATGAGAACCACTATTTGGCAGGAAGAAATATGTGAACTCCGAATGTAAAGCAAATTCTATTTTGAGCTGCAATTTGGGTCATCTATTGCATTAGTTGTTTCTCCTCTTTGAGCTTTGAGGTGAGATTTCTGTCTAATGCAAAGTAATGTAAAGCACAAAAAGGAATAAAATGTTGTCTAAGGCGGTTAGGTCACAGTGCAGCGGTTTCCATTCAACACAACATTTCCAACAGTACAATTTCCTGACAGGTTATACTTATGTGCGTTGCTTTGTTGTATTTTTGTGAATCAAATTTGTTTTAAACCGTGGAGCAGAGGACAAGCTAGGAGTGCACTGAGTGAGTGGAGGAGCATCCGTGGTGAGTGATGCATGTGAAAGTTATCTGCGGCGGGGCTAATGTACAGTGCGCGTCCATTAGCGAGAGAGGCGAGCTTTGATCTAGACAATCTCTAGTAAATGATGAAGTCCTGATAGGATTTCAATGCCTGCGAGTCCCATTAGATACGGAATGGTCACTACGCACTGAGGGTTAGAGCATCCACAAGTCGTCTCTTTCCACATTAGACAGTGTGGGTGTCCGTCCACAAAATGAGTTGCATCCACTTAGCTCAAGAAACGCGGACGGGGGGGGGCGGTAATTCACATGCAACATCATGGCGTTTCACTAACGAGAGTGAAAAGATCATCAGGATCAAAAGCAAGAAATGACACCAATTGCTGCGAATGATTTAGAGGGAATAATACGTCCATCTATTCGAAGAATCGCTGATGAAGGGAGACGGATGTTCAGTCTGGGTGGACAGTAAAAGGTATTGATTAGCTACTCCTCTTGCCACGATTAGGAGTAGTGGACGGGCTGCTGAGTGCGGTGCGATCACTATATATTTGCATTGACAACCCGTGCACCGCCCTGCCCGCGTGACCGAGCCCCCAACCCGGACCTCCGATGGGGGTCTACTTGGCACCTTAAGCTATACTGACCCATATACACACATGAACACGAATTAGCGGCCTTCTTTGCCTGTGCGCCAGAGCGTGGGTGTGAAATTTTGGCGGCTGGGGCCAGAGTCCACGGAGTAGGAAGAGACGGGGCTGGGCAGGGCAGGACCAGGGCTGGGGAAGGTCCCGGGTGGGTGGCTGAGGGATAACGGGGGGGGAAGGGAGGAGCAGCAGAGTGAGTCACCGGCCTGTAATACGAGCCCATCACAGGACAAGAGAACCCGGGGGTGGGCACAGCGGCAGAGCGACAGGAGAATGAATGGGGAGGTCTCATAATGCTCCCTCTCTTCTGCTCGTCTCCGGAGTGACATCACACTGGGATCGGTGCCACCTCCCAGCCTCCGGCAGAGACTCGCTTCATTCATAAAGCCCGGGCCTCCTCCGCTCACAGGGACGCAACGATACAAGCAGAGCGGGCGACCAGACCCAACAAATGGGGGACAATAGGCTTTCCATCACGCCGTTCAGCTATAAATAGACCTACAGAGGTCTTCCAATGTGTGGTAGCGTTTTGACGTGAGGAAGAAGGGGTCGGCTGGAAGTAAAAAAATTAAAATAAAAAAAAAATCTAAAATGCTATTCAAAGCCGGGAACACTTTAGGGTCAAATGACCATTTAAGCTACATCAGTGTCAAAGCATGTGGCCGTTCATGTCTCCCCTCTCTAAGCCCCTTGTGTTGCTGAGAGTAGGGCGGGCTCTATTTATCAGCTGAATAATTCATTTCCTGCGCCTAAGTTGCAACTTCCTCTGGGAAGCGAGGCGCGTTGGGAGTTCAGGTGAGGGTCATACCCTTTCCTTAACACAGATCCCTACGTGCAATCAGGTGCGTATCGGCGGTGGAAGAGAAAGCGCTCGGCCTGCAGGAGGTGGCAGCGGTATCTGAGAAAGGCCTTTGATGGAGATCTGTATCTGGACCCCTGGTCTGAGAATGCGGGGGGGGGGGTCATAAACCCGACCAACATGAAGGGGGCCCATTCAGTGCCACGGGGTGATAAAGCGGTGACGGAGGGCTGCGGCGGGAACGGGAGGAGGGGCGGCAGTCTGGTTTTGAGAGGGGCCGCTTGTTTCTGGGCCGCGGCTCCGCCGTCTGGATTTCCATCTCAATGCCAGTGACCAGGAGTATGTGTTTTGGCGCTGTCCTGCGCCCCGGGCGTGTTAACGCCCCGAAACCAGGACCATCGCACCAGACAGTGCTGAGGCACTCGTTTTATTCTTAGGTCTCCACCGCTGGCTTCTGGCTGCCCTCTCGAAGCACAAGCCTGCGGTGGTGTAAGGCAGCTGCACGGGACGGGCCCGCTACTGCTGACATCTGTCTTTGGCCATGAAACCAGAGTCGTCTAGGATCATCACCACCACAGACATATCGGCTACTCAAGGAGCCAATAAGTGAGAGTAATACCCCGTAGCTTCCTTGCTGTCTTTCTTCATCCCACTCCCTCCATCTCAGAAATCCTATTAGCTCGTGATGCGAAAGTGCATTAACTCTACTGTTTACGCCAAAGTCTCAGCGCTTGATATGACATTACGTCTGAGGTTGAAATGATACGCGCCATCAGCTGCAGACGCTAAACATATTTTTGCTAAAAGCTTCAAGGAACTTCTCTCCTTCCCAGAACAACCAGTGGAACAGAGTCAAAGCGATTTCAGCAAGATGTGGCTGTATGGGGCTTATTTCATTTGTTGCTCCGTAATCTTTTAACAGTTTGAAAAAAGGACTAATTTGTTTTTAATCCTCGAGTATTAAAAACAAAAGTTGAGCAACAGGCATGCACTTCTCACATCAGATTA